GCCCCCCCCCCCCCTCCTCCTCACCCTTCACCTCCCCCCTCACCTGTTTGATTTCTCTGTATTTGCTCAGGGCCTTTCCCACCTCCACGCTCACAAAGTCATCCACAGAGACATAAAGGGCCAGAATGTTCTGCTGACGGAGAACGCCGAAGTCAAACTTGGTATGTTGACGTCTGGAGAGTGTCGGTCCGTTACAGTCGGCGCCACACCGTGTCCCTCGTTCTCACAAATCATCTTGCACTTTGTCGCCTCTCAGTGGATTTCGGAGTGAGTGCCCAGTTGGACAGGACAGTGGGCCGCAGGAACACCTTCATCGGTACACCCTACTGGATGGCACCAGAGGTTATTGCCTGTGACGAGAACCCCGACTCCACCTATGATTACAGGGTAAAGACTGAAGTACTTTTTTCAATGTTGAGTCAAGTTGACGTTCACAGAACACAGACAATAAACTACAGCCGTGTAGAAATACATGAATCAAAATACAGGACAAAGTAGAGCATTATTGAAAACCAAAGACGATCACAAACAAAATTTGTCTCCTGTATTTGACCCGTCAACTCAGGTTCACCTCAGCCACATTTAAGTTGCCAGTTTTAACGTTGACTGCCTCCTGTCCTCAATCTGGAAACCACGAGGACGATGATGTATTGGAAGCGATTACATGAATTAAGTTTGTGAAGTGTTTGAGTGACTGTCAACATATGGTGGTTAGAGACTGACCTGGTTTTGTGTGTGTGTTTTTTTCCACAGAGTGATATTTGGTCCTTGGGGATCACAGCTATTGAGATGGCAGAGGGAGCCCCACGTAAGTAGATACACACTGCCCCCCCGCGTCCTCCATTCCTCGCCCTGAATCATGGTTTCTCTTGTACTCGCCAATAGATCCATTTCTCATCTCAAAGACCTAATGAATGAGTCTGCCTCGCATATGCAGCCCTGTTGTCTGGGTCTTCAGATGGACAGCTGAGTCACTGTAATCAGGGTAGCGTAGTCGTGAGCTGGCAGTTGGCCTGTGGAGGCCGACTGTAAGGCTCTGCTCAGTGGGTAGACGTGTCTGCTTGGAGATTTGCTACGAAACCTGGAAACTTAGAACCGAGCGCAGCAGAGTTCTGCTTAAAGCCAACGTTTTCATACCAACAAATAAATTCCATGGTAGAAATATTGGCACGGCTTCAGTTGTTGTTTGGTGCACGGTGATCATCAGATAACGCACAGTTATCTAAATGACACCCACAGTGTTACGCTCCTTACTTCACCACTGCATTGCCCAGCTACACACTTTTATGGCTGCTGCACCACTGCAAAATCTTTTCTCCTCTCACTGTTCATTTCCCAGCCCCAAGACAGATCTGTAGTTCAAACTTGTTAATCTGTCAATAATTTGTTTTTTACTCTGATGCTGACGCACAAGAAAAAATGTTGAAATGAAAGGGCAGTCACACTGAGATATAATCTCAGAATGTTGCTGCTTTCCAGACCATGAGACTTTCTTGCTAATGGCAAAAAAACAAAACAAAACAACCAGCCTTACATTTTACTGCTGCCAGTGGGTGGCATGTGTACTCCGTCTATGCTGTTATTTTTGGTGCTGTTTGTCATAACCCTTTAGAATAATAATGAATATATTTCTTCATGCTACATTAAAAAAACATTTTAGCTGTGAAACTCTAAAGCTAGCCAGTCAGGTTTAGCTGCCTACCTTTTTTGCTGGGGAACATTGTGACTCACAGTCTGTGTTGTTGAATTCAGTGTCAAAATGCCCGAGGGACCAGGAAACCCTGGATAACAACAGCTATCAACATGTTTGAGTGCACAAAAAGCCAAAGGGCGGCTGAAAAACAGATCCACATATATTTACATACTGTACATTATTATTTTTCTGCAGCTCTCAGCAGGTGTAGGGATATTTATAAGAGCTAACAGTTCACATCATTATCCTCTCTCTCTCTCTCTTTTCTGCAGCCTTGTGTGACATGCACCCCATGAGAGCCCTCTTCCTGATTCCCAGGAACCCTCCTCCAAAACTGAAGTCTAAGAAATGGTGAGTTCTCCAGCGGTTTACGGCCTGATGTCACTTCCTCGACACTAACCAGGCTCTGTTACTTCATGTCCGACGCACAAAAGCTTCAAAAACCCGAGTGTCCAAGGTCTCGGAGGGTAAAGAACAGGAAAGCTTCGCTCTCAGCTGAGCAGAAGAATGTGGAACACAGAGTGTGTGATACTGTGTTCAGTGGTAAACGTCGCACTGTTCCAGTGTTTTTCCCCCCTATCAGATTACATGGAAACAATTCAGATAAGCACAATGCTCTGGTGAAATGGCACAAGACTGTCTCATGTATTCAGTTAAAGTCCCAGTCAGATGTTTTCAAACGACTCTAGGTTTTCAGTCGGTTTAAATGATAGAATGTTTACAAGACAGCGGTGCAAGAACGGAGTATTTTAATGCACTTTTTATTATCTTTACTTTGTAATGATTGATGGGAAAAAAAACCAGCAGAGCAACAGGATCTGACAAAGGTCAAGTGCAGGTGAATCACCAGATAAGTGCAGCAGCCGTGATTACTTTAAGTCCTCATTTGACAAGAGGAACGTTTGGTGATTCTTTAAAGCAGATGCTGAGCTGCAGGTGAACGCTGCTGCCTTTGTGTCTCTATTATGAATAACACCAGGCGTCACTTAACGCCTGTTAGTTTCACATTTTCTTTAGGGACGATCAGATTTCATCTGCAGCCCCTCAGGCTCAGTCCTGTCCCTGATTCTGCTCTTCCTATTGGTTGAGAGTCCTGACTTTTGATGAGAAGTCGAATTATTAATTGAAGTTCTTAAAGTGCTGTGCAGTGTCTACCAGATGGATTCTGGGTAATATTTGAGTCCTGCTCTTCCATACCGTCCTGTCTTCCCTCTCCTCTTTACCAGTTTGTTATCCTGTAACCTCCCCCCTCGCTCCCTCCCAGGTCCAAGAAATTCATTGACTTTATAGAAGGCTGTCTTGTGAAGACGTACCCCAGCCGACCGTCCACAGAGCAGCTGCTGAAGCACTCATTTATCAGGGACCAGCCCACTGAGCGACAGGTTCGAATTCAGCTCAAAGACCACATCGACCGCACGCGCAAGAAACGGGGTGAGAAAGGTATGCTGGGAATATGGAAAAAATCTAGAAGGATGTAACCGAGACAACTTGGGTTTAGTTTGAGCGGTGGTGTAGATTGGTGTGCTGATATTTTGACTGTGATATTCTGACTTTTCCCCTCTCTTCTACCTCACAGAGGAAACTGAGTATGAGTACAGTGGCAGTGATGAAGAGGATGAGAATCGCGGCGATGACAGAGAGTCAAGGTAACTGCTTTAAATGTTTCTCCTTCAAAGACAGAGAGTCAAGGTAACTGCTTTAAAAATGTTCTGTCTCCCTCCCTCTCTCTCTGACGGTCTCTGATTGTTGCCGTCGTCTCCTTTTCACCCTCTGATCAGTTCCATCCTCAACGTACCCGGTGAGTCCACACTCAGGCGAGATTTCCAGCGTTTACAGCAGGAGAATAAAGAGCGCACCGAGGCTCACAGGAGGCAGCAGGCCCAGCTGGCCGCTCAGCGCCGCGACCCCGAGGAACACAAGAGGCAACTTCTGCACGATCGACAGAAACGCATCGAGGAGCAGAAGGAGCAACGCCGCAGACTCGAAGAGGTAAAGGTTAGAAATGCTTATCAACTATTGGCTGTGCTGCTAATGAGTTAGAATGCAATAAATAATTGTCACAGAGGACGGAGCCACCGATCCATCAGATAAGGAGACAACCCACGCCAGCTCCTCACCCTCATCCCCCGCCTCCTCTTCCTCCTTCCCCCTCATGGCAAAGTGTCAGCATCAACACAGTGTTCAAGTCATTATGTGGGACTTAAACGAAGCTCATAATTAAAGTGTTCTCGTTAATCAGTCCAGTACAGTCTTCCCTCTAACAACCCACCTCCACATCGGCCGCTCGTCTTCTCTATTTATTATTATTATTATTTTATTTCTTCTGCTCTGGACTGCAGTGCCAACAACAAGTGTGGTGACAGCAGAGTTGTGTCAGGGCCAAGTGGGAGGAGGTTCTTATTTCACCACTAAAACAAATCTTGTTTTTTCATTGTCACTTCAGTAACAGATAACAGCAGCGTCCTGACTCACCAGGTTGGTTTCAGTTTGAATCAAAGCAGCAGTGATTGAGATTTAGTAGGTATGCAGTGTATACACTACTGCTAATAATCACGTGGTGAGACTAACTGGGTTATTATGGGGTGTAATGATAAAATAGTCTGACATAGTTAGAGGTTTTGTCCTGATGCTGTCCAGTCCAGTCCAGTCAGTGATTTAGAACGGTCATGGGAGCTGCGACCTCTGAGTTTGTCATGTGTCCTGACGGTTTGCCATACCTGCCAGAATAGCATACATACATCCATCCACCAGACTGACAGAATCTGCTGATTTTACCGGCAGCCATTTTCTTGCCCACTGATCAAACGTAACGTGGAGACGTAGGTGGGTCGTGAGGTGCCCTGATCAAACGTAACGTGGAGACGTAGGCGGATCGTGAAGTGGTTCAATACCATTTAAAGGTAAAGGCCCAGAACCCAGTTTGGCTCGGCCCAGTTTTTCTGCCACCAGATACATGTTAGTAACAGTAACAGTAACTGGTTTGAACCAGTTTTCATCGACACATGGTCTGATCCACTGATCGATTACAAAAGTGTAAACGTGATTTAAATCATTCCTACTTCACAGCACCGAAAACCTTTGTACTCTGATGTGTGTGTGTGTGTGTGTGTGTTTTGGGAGAGAATGACTCAGTGCCTTTCTTCTTTGCCCTGCACTCCTCTCTCTCTCTATCTCTCTCTCTCCCTCTCTCTCTTTTTCTTTCTTTCCTTTTTTGCTTTGTTCCATCTCTTTGCACTAAAAACACGCAGTGTGTGTGTGTGTGTGTGTGTGTGTGTGTGTGTGCTCATGAGCGCGGCCTAACCATTACACACTCTCCCCTGTGAAAACACAGCCACTCATTTCTCTTCCACTTGTCACCCTTCTCTCCCAGCAACAGAGAAAAGAGCGAGAGATGGTGAGGCAGCAAGAAAAAGGTCCCCACCGGAGACTCGACGATATGAGACGGGAGGAGGACAGGAGGCTGGCAGAGAGGGAGCAGGTAACCAACCACCGCTAGAGATGGGGCTCCGAGCGGCCAATCGGGGAGCCGCGTGGGCGTGGCCAGGAGTATAACTGTGCAAGTTGCTCTGGTGGTGAAATTCCACGAGTAGGTTGCCATAGCAGCAAGGGTCTAAATTAGTGTATTTATTCAGAGATGAGTTTTCTGTGGGCGAGCTCTCTCTCCACGTCTTTTATGGTCCGTTTCCTGTCTACCCTGAAGAAAACAAGAGTCCGACACCGGCAGCAGCGTCACCTGTCTGTGCCTGACGCCGTCCTAATGTCTGTACTGAATGACATGTTACGAAATGACATCACATGTTGAACATTTCTTTGCGGCTCTGACGTCCAGCTCTTATTTTCGTCCAGCGTTTTTTATTTTTTATATATATATATATCAGTGTATTTGTTTTCATGGTTCCACTTTCCTTTTGGTTCGTGTTACATCATCACCGTTTATCTCTGTCCTCTCTCTCTCTCTCTCTCTCTCTCTCTGTGGCGCAGCATATGCACGTGAACTACTTTGGTTCTGTTCTCCACCACAGTGCTGCGTCTTAACTCTCTCTTCCTGTTTGTCCTCAGGAGTTTATCAGACACAAGTTAGAAGAAGAGCAGCGACAGTTAGAAATCCTTCAGCAGCAGCTGCTTCAGGAGCAGGCACTGCTCATGGTAACGCCCCACCCCCCTACCCCCCCTTCCTTATCAGTTCTTCTGTCTGTTGTAATATTTCATTAACATTTACTGATCACCACTGAAACACACTGGATATTTGGAGCTCCTTTTTTTTGTTGTAGTTTCAGTTGTATTTGTACCTGGCAGCACCTTCACACAGCTTTTCTCCACATGTTTTAAAAGGCATGCGCTGACCTACATTTTTGGGGCAGAGTCTGTGGCAGCTTCCTGTGCTCCAGTGGTGCCGTTATCTTGCCTACATTTAAGGAAGAATTCAAACCGCAGTATTTTTTTTTTTTCTTTCCCCTGTTTTTGTTGGGACAGCGGTATTTGTTCCTTATTCTCAGCCACATATGTGCTTAGTAACATCATGTTTGTATTGATATTATGTTGTTAAGTATTCAGTGGACACACGGTCAGACACACGGTCAGACACCGGCTGCTGCTGCAACGGCAGAGAGTTGATGCAATTTGAGTGTAAGGTCAGATTTGAACCCTGAGGTCTGGAGGAAAGTTCTGCAGAAAGAACTCCTTAAACTAATCCTCGTTTAAAAAAGATTATAATAACAAGATTTAACTTTTTTTAAAACCACGAGGTGTTGTATAATAATCATAATTGATTAACGATTGACAACAATATCGACTAATGAACTTCCTGGTTCTTCCAGTTTGAAGGTTTCCTGGTGAAATAGCTTCTGTGTTCCATCAGATTTCAGATTGAATTCATCTTCTAAACAGATGCACAGCAGTCGTGTAGCTTTTATTTTATCTGCAGAGCAGGAACAGTAGCCGCGTCGTCTGTTATCGCTGCAGCACATCCTCAGCTCCACCGAGACGCAAACAATCTCACCACCTCTGTCCTCCAGCTTCTTCAAACCCCCTCCTCCCCTCCCATCCCCTCTACCTGGGTGAGGTTTCTTCACCCCCATCCAAACTGGATTTTCTAACCAACACAAAGATTAAAAAATAAAAACAAAAAATAGTTCATGGAAGTTATTGAGAAATCAATAAAAACACTTATATATAAACAATATTAATTAAAATGTGAATTTCAAAGCAGTGATTCATCATTAATTATATATTTTATATTTATTTCTCCAAAACAAGATGGTAAAACAAACAGCTGCAGACGAGAGTCAGGGCTGCCAAACAAAACATTTAAATCTGATTAATCACTTAGACGTGGAATAATGGATTATTCATGATTAATTGTGATAAATTAATCATGATTTTTCTTTTTTTTTGAGGAGGTCAGTGATGGTCAGTAGATACAGACTGTGGCTGTAGCGGAGGTGAACACAGACTGTTCGTCAGCGGTACTTGACTGCGGTGTGTGTTTCTGTGCTCAGGAGTACAAGCGTAAGCAGCTGGAGGAGCAGCGTCAGTCGGAGAGACTTCAGCGGCAGCTGCAGCAGGAACATGCCTACCTGGTCTCCCTGCAGCAGCAGCAGCAGGAGAAGAAGCCGCAGCTCTACCACTACAACAAAAACCTGGAGTCCAACAACAAGCCCACCTGGGCCCGTGAGGTACACGTGTTTCCTACACATGTCTGAGTCAAACTCCCAGACCGCATCCCCCCTCCACCCACTCCCCCCGGCCTGGTTGATCATGTCCTGGTTTGACATACTGTATTTAAGGTGGAGGAGAGAAGTAAGCTGAACAGACAGGGCTCTCCAAAGATCTGCACCACCGTCTCTGACACTGCCATCCAGTCACGCTCAGACTCCATCGCCCAGTCAGGAGTGGTCCAGTCTGCTCAGACCCCACCCATGCAGAGGCCTGTGGAACCTCAAGGAGGACAGGGCAAGGTGGGTGATGGGTAAAATTCCTCTTGGCTCAAACGTTCCACAGAATCTCCATGTTCTCATGTCAACCCTCCCACGTTAGAACCTTCAACATCTTCCACGTTGGGCTGCTTTACTCCTCCTGGTCTATGCTTCCTTATCCACTCCCTCCTCATCTCCTTTTTTTTTTTTTTTTGCTCTCCACCTATTCTTCTGTATCTACATGGTGCATAAATTACCTTGGGATACAAACCCACAACCTTCTCCTTTTCTGACTTCCACTTTCTGTCTTCTGCCTCCTCTCTCCTGCTTGGCTGCTCCTGCAGTTCCAGATGGCTCACTTGGTTCCTCTCAAGCCTTATGCTGCTCCCGTGCCTCGTTCCCAGTCCCTCTGTGATCAGCCAACTAAGACTATGTCCGCCTTCCCCACCCAGGACCCCTCCCTCACCCCCGCCCCTCGCCCCATCCACTCCAGAGAGCTCGTGCGTCAAAACTCAGACCCCACCTCGGAAACTCCGGCACCACAGGGGCACCCCATCAGAGAGGACCGCGGCCCCTGGATTCGCCTTCCAGATGTGGAACTACCACCCAAGGTAGGACGGAGAGGCAGGTGTAGGAACCTCATTGATAAAATGAAGGAATCAAACATCCAGCCCAGCGCTTTCTTAACTTTATCTGTTCAAAGACAAGGTCGACTTTTACTTTAGAAATGACTTGACATTGTTGTCGTCTTCAGATTCCTCAGAGGACGGCGTCCATCGCCACAGCTCTCAACACCAACCTCTCCTCTGGTATAAGACACCCAGTCAGAGCCAGGTGCAGTAAACAGACAGATGTTTCTGTCATTTTCCGTTCCTTCACCGATCAGGTGATTCGGCGGGGGGTGTAAACCTCTGTGCTCCTCCACTGCAGCAATCCGGACTTGAGCCGCAACGATCGCTGGGAACGAGGGGACAGTATGAGCATCATGTCCAACCTGCCGCAGACGGGCTCCCTGGAGCGGCACCGTATCCTCAGTGAGTCCTCTTCCTCAGCCGCTCTGTCTTCTTCACCCAGTCTGAACTCTAACTGAAACGAATGTGAATTCCAGGTTCCTCCAAAATGGATTCTCCCGTCCTCTCCCACGACAGTCGTCATAAGCCGGGGGAGTCCCGCACCTCGTCTCGCCCCGGGCGTCCTGCTGTGAGTTTTCTTTGGACTTCACGTTAGCTGTTAGCGTGAATAATTATGCTAGTAGACGTTGACTGATCTTACTGATGCCAGGTTCCTTCACCTGAGCACTCTCGACTTGTTTTGACTTCCTCCTTCAGTAACATCTCCTGTATAATACAGCCAGCTGCTGTTGTTTTTCCTTCTTGTTTCCTCTCCTTCTTAATTCACCTTTTATGCACAGAGTTACAAGAGAGCTATAGGGGAGGTCAGTACGACTGCTTTGGTTTGTTGTTAACGGTTATGTGTTCGATTTATGTCATTTGTTTGTATCGTTTTTCTTTTTTTTAAATTTATTTTCTTGCATGTTTGGCAGTTCTGAAGCATGTTCTTAGTTTATATTTCTGTACATCCACTCATCTCCATGGGAATAAAACGTGTAACGCCTGCTGAGCAACACTGTCTTTCAACAGACTGTAGTGAAACAGCGTCAGAGACACAGTCACTGTTACCGTTGGCTGTTTCTGCTGCGGTCTCATCCAGTGGCTGCAGCCGCTGTTTTCTCCAGTCTGGAAGAGCGACAGATTGACAAAAGACCTGAATCTGGAATCAACATTATCTTTTTCCAAAATTCTCTCAGATTTCATCTCGTCTCCATCAAACATCGGTCCTAGTCAGTTCAGACAAATTAGGGCTGGTATGGTTTTTAAAACCTCCATTTTTAGGTGAGACTTAACTCATCAGTAATTAATGAATCACTTGTCACTTTTATTGTTAGTTGAAAAATGGTTTAATGAAATTAATTAATTGCTGTAAAATAATCTCAAATGTGAGGATTTGACATTTTATGACAGAAATGTGAGAGAAATCAAATCTTTTTTTGATTTGAAGGTTCAATAATTCCACAATTTCTGTTTCATAGAACAGTTGACTAAATTATTATTTAAAAATAAATTATATAATTCACAGTTTTGGACAATCCACAGTTACAATCCTGGGTCACAGGTTCATCTGTGGACACGGCCGAGGATTTAAGTCTAGACTTGAATTACAGGTTTTTTTCAGTCCGTTCTCCTGCTCCACACCTCCCACTGTTTTCTACCCTCACAATCAGCTCTAGTTTTTTTTTTTCACTAATGAATTCATGAATTAAACAAGAACATGTTCACTTGCAGGACCATGGCCTCTACGCCAAGGAACGAGCCGAGGAGCAGCCCAGGCCTCCAGTCAAGGCCAACGATTACTCCTCATCTTCTGAGAGCAGTGAGAGCAGTGAGGAGAGTGAGAGCGGGGAAGGACCGGAGGAGGAAGGCTCTAGTACAGATCGGTAAAAAAAAAAAAATATATATATTTATATGTCTTCTGTGGCATGGCCTTGGTTTTATTTTTCTATCACATTAATGTATGTCGTTTGCAGCCACAGAGACGCAGACACTGATTCAGTCAACACAATGGTGGTTCATGAGGACGAAGGGGAGGCAGGAGAAGGAGAGCAGGCTGGAGGCTACGGGGATCAGACCATGTTGGTGCAGAGGGTGAGTCATCTGAGCACGCAGTGGGACTTAAAAAAAAAAAAAAATCTCAGGTGGACAAACTGCATGTGAGTGGATAAAACAGCAACAAGAGACAGAGGCAGCGGGTCCACGGTGGAGTTCAGGCCTGAGCAGAAATGAATCACAATGTAGAATCAGTGGTAACTGTAAACGTACAATATATATATATATATATATACTGCATATATGTTCACATATTTATATGTATTTACATTTGAGTTAAAAACCCATGGTAGAATTCATCCAGAAGTTTCTTCATCGCCTTATTTCATTCTTGACTCTTTTCGTCTTGGCTAAAAGGAGCCGTCTTTCTAATCCCGTTTTTTTTTTTTTTAACCTTTCAGACTCCAGAAAAGCGCAGCCATAACGGTTACACCAACCTACCTGACGTGGTGCAGCCCTCCCACTCCCCAACTGATCCCGCCCCTCACTCTTCTCCAGGGAAGGACTCTGTTTATGACGTGAGTTTTCCTCCTGTCGTCGTGATCCTACCGTAACTGTCGGTGTCGTTGTTGAGTCCAGTGGTCACCTTCTCTCTCTGCTCCTCCAGTATCAGTCCAGAGGTTTGGTCAAAGCGTCCGGAAAATCCTCGTTCACCACCTTCGTGGATCTGGGCATGTATCACTCCCCCGGAGTGGCGGGGGACAACGTGTCCGTCAGTGGTGGGTCTCAGGCTTCGGTGTCGCACTTTCACATTTAAATGAGTCTGAAATAAAATAATCAAACTGACCACTGTCTCTTGGCTCAGGCTCCAGGTTCGAGCAGCTGAAGATGGAGGTCAGAAAGGGCTCCATGGTGAACGTCAACCCCACCAACACTCGTCCGCCCAACGACACGCCAGAGATTCGTAAATACAAGAAGAGATTCAACTCTGAAATACTGTGTGCAGCACTTTGGGGTGAGAACAGAAACGCTTAACACTGACTGTGTTTTTTTATTTTTTATTTTTTTGACTGTATCCATTCAGTGTTCACTGGAAGTTCTGCCTGTGACTAATGTTGACATGTTGAATGACCAGGCCATGTGTCTGTGTGACCAGGTGTGAACCTCCTGGTGGGCACGGAGAACGGTTTAAAGCTGCTGGACCGCAGTGGTCAGGGAAAGGTTTACCCCCTCATCAACTCCCGCAGGTTCCAACAGATGGACGTCCTGGAGGGACTCAACCTGCTCATCACCATATCAGGTCCTCAGCAGTCTGTTCTCCAGTCTGTGGTTTTGTCAACAGAACGCAATCAGTTTGGATGCTCTGTTCACATGGTCGCGGCGGATGTTTTAGATTGTTTTTAAATTCTGTTTTAAGGTCATTTTTAATGCCTTAAAATTTCAGAAAATGGCAAAATGTTTTTTTCTATAGGTTTAAATCTAAGTTACAGAAGTATTTGAAAAAAAATTTCTGTTTTAAGGTCATTTTTAATGCCTCAAAATTTCAGCAAATGGCAAAATGTTTTTTCTATAGGTTTAAGTTTAAGTTACTGAAGTATTTGAAAAAAAAACACTCAGTTGTTTTATGTTTTAAAATGTGTTGGTTTTATGACTGATGTTTTGGGTAAAGGCAAGAAGAACAAGGTGCGAGTCTACTACCTGGCCTGGCTGAGGAACAAGATCCTGCACAACGACCCCGAGGTGGAGAAGAAGCAGGGCTGGACCACAGTGGGGGAGATGGAGGGGTGTGTTCACTATAAAGTGGGTGAGTAAGAGATGATTGGCTGTTTATCACCGCGCCCTCTTCTGCTCCAGGAAACAAAAAAAACAAAAAATGGACGATGAATGATGGTGTGAATAATTGATGGGCAGTGTGTGATATCAGATGGCCTTGTGGTTGTCCTGTGTAGTGAAATACGAGCGGATAAAGTTCCTGGTGATCGCCTTGAAGAACGCGGTGGAGGTGTACGCCTGGGCGCCCAAGCCTTATCACAAATTCATGGCCTTCAAGGTTTGTGTGTGTTTCCTGTTTGTAATTCAACTTCCTCCGACGCAGCAGCCGACGCTGTTCACACCTTCACTTTCTCTCCTCCTCCAGTCTTTTGCGGACCTGCCTCACAGGCCCGTGCTGGTGGACCTGACAGTGGAGGAGGGTCAGAGGTTAAAGGTCATCTACGGCTCCTGCGCTGGTTTCCATGCCATCGACGTGGACTCTGGGAACAACTACGACATTTATATCCCCGTGCACGTGCGTTGGACGTTTGTCAGGGAGTGGGGGAGAGGGGTGAGGAGGGGGGGAGATTTGTTTGTTTGTCATCAATAATTTTTTTTTTTTAAAATCTCCAAACAGATTCAGAGTCAGGTGACACCGCACGCCATCGTGTTCCTGCCCAGCTCAGACGGGATGGAGATGCTGCTGTGTTACGAAGATGAGGGCGTTTACGTCAACACCTACGGTCGCATCATCAAGGATGTGGTCCTGCAGTGGGGGGAGATGCCCACCTCAGTCGGTACTGTTCAAACATTTACTGTTGGCACAGGGATCATGTCAAGTTATGAAGATATTCTCCAGAGTGGATTTTCTACACATTTTATGTGTTCTAAAATCATTTTCTTTTATTTTAGAATTGAATTTAACAATAACTGGACTGGATCAGAAGTCAGTAGTTGGTGAATCTGTAGATTCTACAGTTATGATACTATAGTGCAGTGTTTCCCAACCGTTTTTGAGCCACGGCACATATATATATATAGTCAGAAAAACTTTGAGCCACGACACATATATATATATAGTCAGAAAAAACCCCACCAAACAATCTCACCTAAACTATATGTAATAAAATATAATAATCTTCTAGTTTAAATGAACTCATCATTGACTAAAATCTCTGCCTTTTGTTGAAGACAACGCAGATATATTGGCAGGAATTGAAGAAAGACACGAAGATCTTCTTCAACAGCTCTGAGTATTTAATTCTTCTGCCTTTCATGCTTTGACAAGCAAGGAAAAATTATATGCAATAAATAAATAAATAATAGTTTTCAGACCAATTAGGTGAAATAGGATAATTTTCCACACCACATTAGTGTGAGAAAACCTCACCTCAAAGATAATACTCTCATTAACAGGGTGAATTATTTTTATTTTCTATTATATACGAGGGACCTTTCCATCATTTTCACACTCTGTCCTGCAGCTCACATCTGCTCCAATCAGATCATGGGCTGGGGGGAGAAGGCCATCGAGATCAGGTCCGTGGAGACGGGTCACCTGGACGGAGTCTTCATGCACAAACGAGCTCAGAGGCTCAAGTTCCTCTGTGAGAGAAATGACAAGGTAACCATGAAGGGAAGGCTAACGGTAGGAGCGGCGGTGTGGGCGGAGCTACACGGATTTGGCACCGATGGTTTCAGACACATTTCCATATTTTGTCAGATTATAAAACATGTGTGCGTTAACGTCTTGATGTCCACACACGCTGTCCCCTTCAGGTGTTCTTCGCGTCGGTGCGGTCTGGAGGCAGCAGCCAGGTCTACTTCATGACCCTGAACAGAAACTGCATCATGAACTGGTGAAGGAGATGATGTCATCGCTGATGTCATCGGTTTGTCGGGAAGGAGAAAAAAAGAAAAGAAAAATGAAATCAGACCAGCAGGGTTGGTGGAAACAAGTGAATCCAGAAAACTCCAAAACACACACACACACACTAACACACACACACACCTCACTCCGACTGTCACACACACACTCAGAGACAAACACACACTCAAACTGACACAAACTGACACACCAATAATATTTACTCTGAGGTTGAGCCCCTCCCCCCACTCCCCCCGACCACTTTCATCATGATAAAACCCACATGTTGAGACCACCTCTCAGTCCGTACTGTAAAAATATTCCCGTCTGGGTTTTTTTTTTTTTTTTTCGGGGTGGGGCCGGTGTCCGTGGTCTTTTTTTTTTTTCATTTCCTAACATTGAAGTAGGTCAAAAGACGACATTCCTTGATGTTTCTGCCGTACATTTGGAGGAAAGCGTTTTATTTCCCAGCACTTTCTCACTTTCTCGTGTGTTGGGATGAAGCTGTAAATAGTTCTAGCACCTTTAAGATCTGAATCAGTTCTTCGGACTTCGTAGAAAACGGACGGCGTTAGAACACACGTTAAAAAAAAAAGAATGAAAAAAAAACATTAAAAAAAATGCTGGATCCAAACGTCGGTCAGACTTAGAGGAAAGAACCAGTGAGGGACAGTTCTCCCATGAACTGTTCTGAACTTTCAAACTTCTCTTTGCTAAATATTTAGGTATGACATTAAAACACCTTCAAATCAGAAGAAAATTGACTTTAAAAAAGAATCGACGCAACTTAAAAATTTCAAATTAATTTCCATTTTCTTGATTTTAATTTTTTTTTTTTCAGCCCGTCCCTGAACCGTTTTGTTTTTGTAGATTTACCAAAAACAAAACCTTTGATATTTCTATGTAGTGATTCTGTATTGGTATTAGCCTACTGGTATTTTTCATTTTACTGTAATTATATTGCAATATATTCTCTTCTAGTGAGTCTCTGTGTGACCAGGAGAGTTTTGGCACGTCGTCATTGGTTGGTTTTTGTTGGCTGTCAGCGAAATGGTCTGAAGAGGGCGCTGGTGAGGCGACAGTGACAGTGAGCTGTGCCACACTGATCTACTCTACTGTATTCTATTTCTTCTCCTAGACTTGTTTTTGTCGCGTCTTGTTCTGTTCTGGGCTGACCGGAGTGACCGGTTCTGGTTCTTAGATTTTATGGATTTAAAAGGACGTGTTTAGACGGAGGTGAATCCAGAGGACCTGATGTGTCACCTTCTTATCTGGCTTCAGGCTGGAGCTCATGACCATCTTATCATAACTGAAGATTAGACGCATCCTGCCAAAGACGCTGGAACTTTCTGTAAAGAACCGGTTCCAGTGGTGAGGGAGTTTAAGTTGGTGTTTGAGAAGGAAACTGTTCTTACACTTTAGTACGTTTTAGTAAAAAAAAAAATTATTTATAAATAATATAAAAATCTAAATATTCAGATACATTTGTTTTTTTCTTCCTACTAAAAAGTTCTCATGTATTTTATTTCTCCTCTTAATAGTAATGTTTCATTACTGCCCTCTTCTGGATGTAATCCAATACTGCAAGTGCATTCATCCCAGTTTGAATTCCTTTTAGGTTTGAACTGTGTGTTCCTCCAGAGTGTGTGCACATTTCCTTCTGCTGTGTTTTTGAGATTTTTTTTTTTTTTTTTGCCTGAGGCAGACACAGGTACAAATATGAGGCAGTCGTACAGTGGAGGGTTTTGAAGTTTTTTGTTTTTTTAAGCTGCCAGAGCACAATGCATGAACACAGACAGACTTACACTCATCAGGCTGGAGTTTATTAGAAACAACGTCGTCGTTAGTCGTTCGTGGTTAGTTCTCCTGGTTCTTGTTGACATGTTTACATTAATCTGGGTTTGTGGTAACGCTGCCAGGATGAGGAAGAGTTGGTGACGTCAGACGGACGTGAGTGAGAGACTCAACGGTTCTGTCAACGGTTCCAGTGGGTGAACCAGGGCGAGCAGCATGGAAACAAAGATTATAGAGAGAGAGAATATATAGATTTTATCACAAGATTATAGATTAAAAAGCATGAAGAGCACTTTTTACTTCAGAGAGAAAAAAAATCATTCATTTACATTTATTAAAAAATAGAAAAAAAATCGTATTATTTTACTGATTGATGGGTTTTTACCTGCATGTTCAGTTCTAATCTGACCGGTGACCCCTGAACTGAGGACGTGCCACGACTGGACTGGCACTGGTTGGTTTTTAGAGTCTCATCATTAACAACTCTTTATTTCACTCTGTCATGTTTACAGTCAAAGCAGTGCCTTGGAGCCAGAAGGCCAGAGGATTAGGAGGGATTAGGATTTTTTTTTTAATCTCATTTGTTGCCCCCCTGGTGTCAAATACAAAGAAAGGCACAAATTTTTTTTTTTTTTTTTTGCTCCTTGCAAACAGAATATTGCGCCCACAGTCCCACGCCATTTGAAGTGCACTTAATTCAAATCTGGAATGTCCTCGATGTCGAGGAAGTGGCACGTCCAAAAATACAAACGTTCAGACCCTCAAATCCATTCACACGTTTGCAATAATGTGGAATCAATCAAGTGTAACTGCACAGAGGATCCACTCAGAGAGGGATCCACTCAGAGTGGGATCCACTCACAGAGGGATCCACTCAGAGTGGGATCCACTCAAAGAGGGATCCACTCAAAGAGGGATCCACTCACAGAGGGATCCACTCAAAGAGGGATCCACTCACAGAGGGATCCCCTCAAAGAGGGATCCACTCATAGAGGGATCCACTCGTAGAGGGATCCACTCGTAGAGGGATCCACTCGTAGAGGGATCCACTCGGAGAGGGATCCACTCACAGAGGGATCCCCTCAAAGAGGGATCCACTCATAGAGGGATCCACTCGTAGAGGGATCCACTTGTAGAGGGATCCACTCAGAGTGGGATCCACTCACAGAGGGATCCACTCAAAGAGGGATCCACTCAAAGAGGGATCCTCTCGGAGAGGGATCCACTCAGAGTGGGATCCAGTCCTTAGAGAAAAGCCATACGTTTGACGCAGGTTGGTCGGCGGTGACGTAGATCAAAGTAGACTGTGTGTGTGTGCGTGTGTGTGTGTGTGTGTGTGGTCGGACTCAGAGGACGTAGATTCCTGCAGCAGAGAGTGCTTCTCATATATAAATATATATATTTTAATGATGTTGATTGTTTCATCTCGTAGTGAGGAAAGTAGCCTGATTCTAACATGTCTATTTTATAAAAAAAATATGTAAATTAGTCTATATTGAGGGGGGAAAATGAAAAAGTGAATGTACATCTAAAAAAAAAAATTTGTATTTATATAAAAACGTGTGCCGCTCTAATAATCAAAGCACAATGTATTTAAATCAGAGATCAAAGAAATCAAAGAACGATCTTTTTTTTTCTTCTTCTTTTCCGTCGCTCGGCGCTAGTTCACTAGTTACTGTCGGTTTGTTTGAACCAGAACAAGTCACTGGTCGGAGTGTGACGACACCAGCCGTGTGTTGGTGAAGTTCCAAACTTTGACCAATCAAAGGCCGAGCCAGTGATGGCTTTTACTGTCCTAGGAAAAAATAAATGCGGTATCGTCTCCCTCACACTGTTGGCGCCACCTTCTGGCTGCTATGTTAACCTGAACAACTTGTACAAGCATCGGTTCTGTCCACCTGAACGCAGCTGGTGTCAGTGGTCAGTGTGAGATTTGTTGTTTCTGGGATTCGACCTCGTCCAATCACAGACCGGTACAAACCCACACTCTGGTCCAGGATTTGTCTCATAGTAAATTTTGCACATTTTTGGCCTTAAAGCTAACCAGGAGCGGTGGTCTGACCTTCAGAACCCCCTCCTCTTCTATTAGAGATGACACCAACAGCCTGAACATCTGTACAAAGTTGAGCTCAGATGTTGAAGAGCTGCAGGAAGTGACGACGACTTTTTTTTCCTCTTTAAATCTTTAAATCTTCTATTAGAGATGACACCAACAGCCGACGACGACTTTTTTTTCCCTCTTTAAATCTTTAAGATAAATGTTGCTAATGCAAATCATGAAATTTAAAATATTAAATGAGTTTTTCTACCTCTCCGTCACTCAGAAGAAGGTTCAATTAATAAAAAACTGAAAGGTAATTGTTCTTTTAAATTGAACTTCACTTTTATTTTTTAAGGATCAAGTACAAAGATGATGACGATGATGTTTTTTTAAGTCAAACTTGTTGCTTCAGTCCTGGTTGTTTTGATTTGAACCAATGAAAATTCACGTTCGATCTGCTTCTCTGTGGCTTTTCATTGTCATGAAACGTGTGTGTCTGAGAGAGAGAGAGAGTTAAACCTGGGCTTCTGTGTCTTTGTTGTCATTCTGTCAAAGTTCGTCATCTGAAGACAGAGGTGAAAAAAAATTGTTGATCAGGAACTGGAGCTGAAGGGGTTAAAAACATGGTTTTTCTTTTAAAATTTAAAACTTCATAATTTTCTAAATAATAAACGAGGTCTTAGCTGCCGACCTGTTACCATAGCAACGTCTCTGTGGCTAGCGGCTAACCTGTTAATGACCCGAATAACAACACCGGTGACCAAATAAAAATTGATATTTGAGTGACAACGTTTGGCCAGTTTGAGTTCGAGTCCCCGAGGTCTTAAAGCAGACTGTGTTGAGAAGCTGGACTTGTTTTTGTTTTTTGTTTTTTACTGCAGTAAAGGTCCCAGAAACTGCCTTTATGATCGGTGAAAAACAGCTAACGATGTGCTGAGTCACTGCTAACTGTGTTAGCTTCTGTTTCTAATCCCAATAAAGCTGTGAAGGAATAATGGAACAAAAAATAATAATAATAACAGGCAGCAGAACTAATGAAATATATTTTGAAACGAATTAAGTCAGCCCTCAAACGCAACAATGTCCTTTTACAATATATATATTTTTTAATTATTTCAAACCCATCTCGTTTTGGCGTCTGTCAGATTTAACTCCGACCGTGTTTCCTTGGACTGATCGACTTCAAAGTTTCGCGGGATTGTGTTGAGAGAATTAATGTCTTAATTAAAACAAAAGCTGTTTGAAAAAAAAACAAACAATACAAATAAAGAAATCTTGATCTCATTTCTTCTGTTGTCTTTTGTCAGGTGCTTACTGTGAGTCACGTGTGTTCTTCAATTCCGCCACAAGATGGTGCCAACGTATCGCCTCACCAATATGTTCCTGCATCTTCTTCAAAGTGACTTCACCAGATATCTGGCAGGGGGGGGGGCTTTCTGGCCCTGACTGACGTACTTCTGTTTGTTGAGCAATACATCCACAAGGGGGCAGTGTTGAGTTCAGAGTGAATTTCCCGGCCGACATTGGATACGTTTCTCAAACAATAACAAACATGGTGACAGTGGAGGAAGTGATGAATGTTCCGGATCAGAATGAGGACCAGACAGAGACAGAGCAGAGGACAGTGGTGGTCTGAGTGGACATGAAGGACAGAGCAGAAGACAGTGGTGGTCTGAGTGGACATGAAGGACAGAGCAGGGGACAGTGGTGGTCTGAGTGGACATGAAGGACAGAGCAGAAGACAGTGGTGGTCTGAGTGGACATGAAGGACAGAGCAGAAGACAGTGGTGGTCTGAGTGGACATGAAGGACAGAGCAGGGGACAGTGGTGGTCTGAGTGGACATGAAGGACAGAGAAATGAATCTGCAAATTCTCCAAAAATGTCCCATAAAGATGATGGACAAAGTCTTCGTGTCCACCCTTGGTGCTGATCGTTATAGAAACACCCGTTCACACTAACATTCACACCTGATTCACAGCTTTTTTAAATGGATGAAGCAGAAGAACTGGAACAGTGACATTTAACCTCTGCAGAAAAAGGTCAGACCAGGGTCAGAGGTCAGGTTGGTTCCATTTTTTTTTATTTTACACACAGTAACATTAAAACTGCTGTATTGTGATTCATGTGTGTGTGCGCTATGTGTGTGTGTGTGCGTGAACTCTAAGTCTTTTATATTATGTACAGAACATCGCTGCAGTTTTGTTGAGTCTTACATACAGTGTGGACACGGGGGACAGACTGTCTGTCCATCCTCCCGTCGGTTGGACGTTGTGTTTCTTCTTCTTCTTCTGTGTGTGTACGTGTGTGTGTGTGTGTGTGCGTGGGTGCGCGCCTCAGTTCCAGATCTTGAGGAAACTGTCCCAGGAGCCCGTGCACACGGCCATGCCGTCATCCGTCACGCCCAGACAGCTCACACGATTGTCGTGGCCGGCCAGCACTCCTGCAGGAGGAGAGAGGAGCAACAAAAGGACACTTGTTGTCGTCAAATACTTCCCTCTGCAGGAACCTCCACAGAACACAGCCGTCCACTGTGTGGCCCCCGTGCGTCCCACAGTGTGGGCCGTACAGTACGAGCAAGGTTAGGATGTCGGAGCCGACGTGGAAAAATGTGAGTGCGTGAAGGATTGTGTGGATTTCTCGACAGTTTTGTCGACTGTGTCTCGCCAGATTTACTGTAGTTTTTGTTACAGTCATCCGTGTAGGTCAGGAAATAAGGAAGGAAATGAAGTACTGCAAGTGTCAGAAAATTCTAAAAATATATTGTCAGTAAAAGCAGCGCCTTATACTGTAAAATTATACTTTTACATCATGTAGTTATGGTTTTACCATCTGTTACTGTGAAATATTTTTACTTTACTCTGTAAAGTACTTCTGTTACCCTACATGAAATTGAGTTTTTCTTATTCTACTGTAAACTTTACTGGTTTAATTTTACTTTGACATAGTTTGTTGTACTTTACAGCATGTACTTGTACTCCATGTACTTCTCTGATTGTACTACGTATAGGATTTGTAAAAGTGGAGGAGACGGAGGACGGCGGAGGCCGAGGCTTGGACCTGGACGCTCTGTTCCAGCCGTCTCACCCCTCCGTTCCAGCCGTCTCACCCCTCCGTTCCAGCCGTCTCACCCCTCCGTTCCAGCCGTCTCACCCCTCCGTTCCAGCCGTCTCACCCCTCCGTTCCAGCCGTCTCACCCCTCCGTTCCAGCCGTCTCACCCCTCCGTTCCAGCCGTCTCACCCCTCCGTTCCAGCCGTCTCACCCCTCCGTTCCAGCCGTCTCACCCCTCCGTTCCAGCCCTCTCACCCCCCCGTTCCAGCCGTCTCACCCCTCCGTTCCACTCACCCGCTCGGTCTCCCTTCATGGCGTCCCAGATGTTGCAGTTGAAGTCGTCGTACCCAGCCAGCAGCAGGCGCCCGGAGCGTGAGAAAGCCACGGAGGTGATGCCGCAGATGATGTTGTCGTGACAGTAGAGGCCCAGCTCCTGGTCCGCACGCAGGTCGAACAACCTGCAGGTGGCGTCGTCAGAGCCGGTGGCAAAGGCGCTGCCGTTAGGAAAGAACTGAAGAGGAGGAGAAGAGAAAGATGAAGGTCGGACTTTTCTGACAAATATTTCTAATATAAAGAATCTGTCGATGGAAAAATGGTCGTTCCTTTTTGAACGAGTTCCCAGAACCGTCTCCTGATCCCACTCACACAGATGGCGTTGATGTCCGACTCGTGTCCAGTGAAGGTCTGTCGACACATGCTGTCCCTGATGTCCCACAGTTTGACCGAGGCGTCGCAGGCTCCGGACACGAAGGTGCGCATGTCGGGCGACAGGGACAGACTCATGACGTCACCGGTGTGGCCCGAAAACACCGTGGTCTGCTGACACGTCTCGATGTCCCACAGTGCACTGGGGCGTGGAGCAGCACAGAGAGTCGGTCAGTGTCAGCACGTGTGTGTGTGTGTGTGTGTGTGTGTGTAGTTCCTGTCACTCACCACGTGGTGTCTCCTGAACTTGTAATGATTTGATTGTCGTCAATAAAACGGCAGCAGGACAGATACCCTGGGGACAGAGGGGGCAGATGTTTGACTGGGGGCAAATATTCCATTTACATTGTTTTATGTGTGAGAGGCGACATGGGAAAAACTAAGGCCGGTGGCCCAGATACTGTCCAATGAAATTTTTAAACTGGTCCAGTCGGTCAAATTAAGGACGCTGCAATGTCGTCCTATTACGATAACAATAATTGAAGAAGAATCACTTCCTGACTTTTCCTGATACAACACAACCTGGACTTATGGGACCAGGTGGAATGGAGGCTGGAGCCCTCTAGTGGCAGATGGTGGTCCTGCCTCTGTCCCTCTCTTGTCCGCCCTCTATATAATATTGGTATAAGATGTAATAATTTAGCTTTAATCGTGCATTAGCCGGCTTTTTGGATGAGCCACTAGATGGCGCTTTGTGTATTCCAAAAAAAAGTAACATTTGTTTATTCCACTGTGTTTAGTCCCAGTCGGTCAGTCAGTGTGACCACCTCCTCCTACCTGTATGACCAGGTAACTCCCTGCTGATTCTGACGTTGCCTTCACGTGTCTTCAGGCAGTAGATGGAGCAGATGTTGTCCAGGCCGCCACAGGCCACGTAGTTCCCAGAGGGGGCGTAGGCGCAGGTCATCACCCAGGAGGAGCGCAGGGGGATGGCGTGGATCTAAGAGGTGGAGGTGGAGGACGACATCATGTAACGTAATGACTGGAGTAGTTGTCTTTAGACCTGAAGGTCAGGGGTTCAATTCCGGCCTGTGCCAGTGCCACCTCCGGGGTGATACGATGGAGGAGGGGGCGGGGCTTCTGTCCCGACCTCATCTTTGTTATTGACTCTAACTTTAATTTTAGGAAGATGCTGAACGTCTGTTACCTTGTTGGTGGTGTGACTGTCCCAGATGATCAGTTTCCCATCTTGAGAGGCGCTAACCAGGAGTCTGAGAAAAATATTATTATTGTTAGTAATAGTAGTAGTACTGTAGTAGAACTAGGAGTAGTATTGTTGTTGTTGTTTATAATAATACTACTAAGAAGAGTAGATAATACACATTTATACCAAGTCCTGTGTCGGGTTAGCGTTACATGTCTTTACATACACTAGGCCCTCTAACGTTAAGCTGTTTTCTGAGGTTCACTCAACTTCTTCTTGACTGTCGTTAAGCATTTTTTTCAGCTATTTCTGGACAAACTTCCACCTGTTTAAAAATGACTTTTAATCATTTCGGCTAACGCTAAGAAACTGTTTATTCATAGCATGTAGCTAGTTCAAGCTATTCTGTGTTTGTCACAGCTAAAACTGTGGCTAATTTAGCACCAAGGTTGTTGTTTTTTTCTCCCCACATTGCTAACAGCTAGCATCTTTAATGCTTCCTTTCCAGGTCGGTGACCTCTGACCTACTGAAGGGCTGCACTCACCTGGAGTCCGAGCCCCAGTGCATGGCGTAGATCTTGGCCAGGTGACCACGGAGCGTGCGTCTTGTCCTCATCTGGATCCGGCCCACGGGGTCCAGACCTGCCGTGATCTGATTGGACGAGGAGATGATTCAAACATTCACACACAGGTACCGTATGTTGGGAGTTTTTTTGTTTGTATTTTAATCAGTTGTGCGTTCAGTGTCAGTCACCTGTGTCAGGGTGGAGTCTCCACATGCTTTCCTGGCGTCCTGTAGAAGACGACATGTTGGAATAAGAAGAAGAAGAAGAAGAAGAAGTGAAGGTGAATGAGTTGATCCTGTGGACTCACCCTGATCTGGTTCCTCAGCTGCTCTGCCTCCTGACGAAGCTGCTCCAGCTCACTCATCTTGGATCAGTCCGAGCTGCTGGTTTTAAAACGACAGTTTGATTAGTTTGAATAGTTAGAATTATCTGGATGTTGTTTTCGTGTTGGTGGCGCGGAGGGGCGCGGTGGGAGGACGGGCCCGCCGCGAACCACCTGACGTCGCTCCGACGACAGACGCTGAAGTGAAGACGCCGATGGTCAACATGACGGAACAAACAGGAAGACAGGAAGAAGGGAGGGGTCTTTTTTTTTTCTTTCTTTCTTTCTGTCTGTCTTTGTCTATGGGCAGTTCACACACACACACACACACACACACACACACACACACATATTGTCCACCACAACACAGTTTCAGGAGGAAGCAGCGTTTCCTGTTCCTGGTGGAGGCACAGTTACACATTCAAACAGCCTCTCCCAGTCGGGGGTGAGGGAGGGAGGAGGGGGGGGCTGGATGGAGGAAAATATATTTGCATTTCTCTGGAAATTCAAACGCACTGTAACGCCCAGGAGTGTCCACGCACACACACACACACACAGAGTCGGTCACTGGTCCCAGTGGAACCAGTTAGCAGATGGAGCACACGGCGCTAATGGAAGCTAAAGTGTCTGCGTCCCTGGTACCAGTCTCCTGGTACAGACGCACATTTAACCAATGAGGTGAGGAGGAGCCGGGTGAGGCCCGAGAGAGTCGGCCTGGGTGAAGGTGGACGGGGGAGAGGGGGGGGATGACGGAGCAGCAGCAGCAGCAGCAGCAGCAGCAGCAGGCCCCCACCTCTACGATGCTGCTGCTAATGCTAATGCTAATGATGACAATAGTGTTTAGTCCGTGCAGAGACTTGGATCAAATGATTGACAGTTAAATCAACCTCTGGTGTGAATTTTAGTGTGAATGGTTGTCTCTACATAAGGCCCCAGAGATCTGTCCAGGACGTAACCCCACCCCGCCCCCCCGT